CAAGATATAGGTATATAACAGGACATATAACAATATATAGTTTTTCCTTCTTTTATTATCCTGATATTCAACTTACACATTAATAGTATCATAACAAGATATAGGTATATAACAGGTTTCAGATTCCGTTTTATGCAAAACGTAAAATTAATTATGATCTAATATCCTAATATAGGGTAATTTAAAATTCGAATGATCGACAAATTTGACCGGAATTAAACCGATGGGTTCTTTTATTTATTAGACTGCAAATCTGCCGATATTAAAAAGCTATGATATTTTGCATTTTTATTAGCTAAAAATTAATTATTAAAAAAATATCTTACAAAATTAATTTTAGAAATTAAAATAGTATATTAAACTAATATACAAATAAATAAATCACAATCCATGTGAGCTACGTGACCAAATTCCACACCAGTCAATCAGATGATCATTAAAATTAGTGTTAGGGGCATGAATTTATCACTAAAATCACTAGCTAACATTAGGGATTTATGGTGCACGAAAATAATTTTCGCATTCTTTGATACGTAACAAAATTTTGATAATCTATTAGCTTCTTTGTGCTTGAATTTTCTGCTCGACATCGGTTAGGCACAGATGTATTGTTGGCCAGGAAGTCTGCTCGTTCAATAGAGATCTTTGATGAGCAATAATGATACTTATTCTACTCTACAAAGCTATAACAAATTAAGAAAAGTGAATTCCAGAATCTCAAACATCTATGAAATAAAAATCATATTTAATTATAAACTGTAGTACAAAATAAAGAGCTTTTTTTTTTTTTTTTTATGGCCTAATAAAAATAAAATAAATCATAAATTAATCCGATAGATTTCATTTTCTCAAAAACCAATTAAGGTTGGCCCAATTCATATTTAGGGTTAGCTTATTTAAAGTGACGTTGGTTAGAATTAAGAGTCGGTGAAACAGGGTGAATCCCAATTAATTGAACTTGTTAGTCGATTTTTTTAAAAAGACGTACGTACAACTTAGACACAGATGCAAAGTTAAAAAATAAGGATACACCTTTTTCGTTAAGTCGTTATCTTAACGTCTTTGTTATTGAACTATTGAACTATTGAACTATATTAAGGACTGCTAAACCTTTGTAATTTTGTACCATCAAATATTTATGATCGCGTGCTTTTAACTGGCAATAAAGTACAGCTTATTGTAAATCATATATACGTAAAAAGCCTCTCTGTATTATACCCGGAGTTACACTGGCGATTTATGGTGATTGAGTCGACATGTCAATATCTGATGTCTAATCCTGGTTTTAAATAAATTGTGTTTCTTTTTTTGTTAAATGCGACATTTTTTATTGAAACATATAAATGTTAAGATCTGATTAAATATGTAATTGGCCTTTTATATACAGTATCATATAATAATAATTTTTAGTGTATAGTAAAATCTTCATACAAATAGTTTCTTTTTTTAGGTACCTTAGAATGTTAATATTCTATGCTGCGTTACATTTAACATATAATTGTTAGAGCTTTTAATTTATTGTCTTTATTTGGTAATAATATATATATTTTTTTATTCTGTATTATTTTTAAACATTTAAATACCCTCCATTTACCTCAATGCTACCACATAAACCATCCATATTTTTCGCTCTTAAAACAAAAAAAAAAAATGAAAGCATCGCCAATTCATCAACTTTTATTACTCTCATTTACAATTTTATTAATAGTTTTTTCAGTCACGACCGCGACAAAGGTAGAATTCGCATATGTTGGGTATAAAGGACCTTTGTTTTGGCATCTTCTAGATGGCTCTTCTGAATTATGTTTGGTAGGCAAACATCAATCTCCCATTGACATTATCCCAACCGATTATTCTAAATCACAAATCCCTCCTCCGTCTGATGTTCGAGTTAAAGATGTTGAGGAGGCAGAATTAGCTCATATTGTGACCACGCTTGAGGTAGCTCCTTGCAAGGAAGAAGAGGGCAAAGAAGGAGAAGGAGAAGCGTTTTTCCCTGCTGAATTTAAAATTGGAGATGAAACTTTTAAACTACTCCAATTCCATTTTCACACACCCTCAGAACATCGTTTTGATGGTGTGCATCACGATGTTGAGGCACATTTTGTATTCAAAGACCGGCGTGAAAGAATATCCGTTGTTGCTGTATTTTTTAATGTTGGCCTTGACTGTACTAAAGATAATGAATTTTTGAGGTCTATCCTTGTCGAGGTAATTTTTTTTTAAAAAAAAAATTATATGTTTATATTTGGATATTAACTTTTTCTATATATTAGAAAATTCCAAAACCGAATAGTGTAACAAAAATAAAGGATATACGCTTGACAGAAATTTTTAAGAATATTAACAACATTCAGGATGTAAGCATAATACATACTTTAAATTTGTTTAATACTTTAAAAACAAAAAACCTTTATGCTAATTTATTTTCCCATTTTTATTATTATTCAAATCAAGGCTTTTACATATCGTGGAAGTTTAACTACACCACCATGTTCTGAAGGTGTCAGATGGTGGATTAATAATAAGAACGTCCAATATATGAGCATTAATCAATATCGAAAATTAAAACATGCTGTAGGATTTAATTCTAGATTTACGCAACCAAGAGAACATGATTTGGAATATGAATCGGATTCTGAATGGGATAAATGTGAATATTAATTTAGAGGGGGATTATTCTTTAGACTAGACACTGTTACATTGTAAGTTGAATATCAGGATAATAAAAGAAGGAAAAACTATATATTGTTATATGTCCTGTTATATACCTATATCTTG